CCGGGCAAGGCATTCCTGGGTCCGGGGTCCGGAGACCGCAGAGGCGCCGAGCTTACCGCGGTTTACACGCCACTTTGGCCTCTTCTTTGCCAAAGCAACAACGCAAACCTTTAGTGTCTAAAGTTTAGTCTGATACCATTAGTTTCCAGGGCAGTGTTTGGCATTGTGTGTACAACTCACTGTTTACAGACCATTTTCCGGGTGTTGTCCAAATCCTTTGTGTAGGAGAGAAGAAAGGTCTACCAGCTGATATTAAGTGATTCTGGTTTGTAAGTCGGGCTTTTAAGTATGAAAAGTGTTGGGCTGCAAGGGTTCCTCTCATAGCGTAACTCCTCAGAGCCTTTGATTTCACCTGCCCGTTCACATTAACCAGGGAATACATGCTGGAGATAGTTTTCCGTGATAGAGCTCTAGAGAGAGCAATAAAGCTTTTTTCATCAGCTCCCTCTCAGTCCCTAGCCTTAAGTGTCTGAGATGTTTGCAGTTAACAGCTGCCGGAAGGCATGGGGATCACCCAACCTCTTTAACTCCAGGCGCTCCGCTTAGGTGTGCAACATTCCCATTCAGCCCTGCTTTGACTTGATCCTCAGAGGTCAAGCAAAACTATTCACGATAGCTGGGAAATAGCCACCTAGATGTCAGTCGACAGAAGAACAGAGAAGGAAAACGAGGTGCATATACAAAATGAAATTCCATTTAGGTATAAAGAAAAATGAAATCATAATTATAGAAAAAAATGGAATCAGAAATAGTGTTAGTTGTATTAAGTGAAATAAGCCAGATTCAGAAATTCAGAAAGACAAATACTATGTAAACCTAGATATATGTGTGTGTGTGTGTGTGAGAGAGAGAGAGAGAGAGAGAGAGAGAGAGAGAGAGAGAGAGAGAGAGAGAGAGAGAGAGAGAGAGAGAGCATGAGAAGGGAGGAAAAGATCTTGAAGGAGGGGAGGAGAAAATAAAAACATGGAACATGAATGCAGAAGGGAGCTTCTTTTGGGAGGCAGGTGACCAGAAACAGAAGTAGGAGCAACTGGGGGACAAATTAGAATGTATGATGACAGGTGTGTGTGAAAATGCTGTGTTAAAATCTATGACTTTAGTAATTTAACATTTTTTAATTAAAATGTTCTCATTTAAAAAAAATGTCAAGCAAACAAATCCTTAGTTATCCCTTAGGATAGACAAGGTGCCAAGGGTTAGGAAGACTCACAGTATGGTTAGGACTTATTGAGTGCTGGGCACTGTCTTAACAGAGAGCATAGCAGGTCTACTTTCACAGCTACTTCTAATGTAGTGTTGCTGGTATCTGCATCTATGATGAGTCACACGGGGTTGCCCAAGTGGTAGAGGTCATTTACTAGGTAATAGAGTCCACACTCTAAACCACCCTGCCAACCGCCATTACCCAGGGCAAGTTGGCTGTCATTGTGGGCAATTGCAGTACACTGTGATAAGAACTTGAACTTATAGTCTGCTGGAAACCAAAATAGATGTCCCAAACCTAGAGAGAATGGTGTCTGCAGGGATGTGAAGTGGCATGTTAAGCTAGCGGGGTAGTTAAGTGTCTCATCTTAGACTGTGTATGTGTCAGGAGAGCAGGAGGAAGCAATTAAAAGTCATGTGTGTAACAGCAAGGGATAGAAACATGGCTTTAGCTGACTGAACCTGAAACAGAAGTTTATTGGTTCAGAGAATCCAAGTCTGAGGTAAGCAGAAAATGAGAGATACCAGCTTGGCTTCAGGAACACAAGAAGGCTGCAGCTTACTATTTCTTATTTCTAGTGGCCTGGCTATGGAAATATTCCCTACTTGGCAGGAGTCATGGCTTTTAAAATTTTTGCAACTTCTACTGGAACAAAATCCCAGAGGAAGACTCTGATATTCCTAGCTTGATTGGGGGCCAACTGGTGTGGGAAGGACATTGTTTAAAAGTGTGGTGTAGACTTTTCAAAAATAGCAGCACAGTGTTCCTGACAGAATTGAAGGGCCTGAGGCAAGAAAGTAATGTGTCCCCTATTCCTGGTGTCGATGGGCGATCTTGTGCAGGCTTAGACAATGCTATGTAGAAAGGCCAGGCACCATATAAAGTAGTTTGAAGAAGGAAGCCCATTAGGAGGCTGGAGCTCAAGTGTCAGGAGGATTCCATGAGAAATGGCTGTGTAATAGAGGAGAGGGGACCTTTTCAGGGACTATTGAGAAGGCAGAGTCGGTTGGACTCTGGATATGGGTAGAGAGAAGAATAACACGGCTGCCTGGCCGGGCAGCGCCTTCATTGGAGTGCCAGACACTTCCTTTTATTGAGGTTCCTCCTCTGTGTGACTTCATGGTTTCAAGTCTTCAAATCCTGCCCTCTATGGTATCTTCACCCTTCTGAACTGTACCCTAGCATTTTATAATACGGGATGGGTCGGCCCTCCCATGTTTTTTTTTTTTTTTTTTCTCCCCACTCTCTCTTCAATACATTCTGTAGATTTTTTTAAGTGCATGTCTTTAGATTTTGTTGTGTCCCCTATGATGGTTTTATTTGTTTGTGTATTTTTTTTTAGGTCATTCCATAACCCAAGCTAGTCTCAAACTTAACTCCCTAGCTCAACCTTCGGAGTGTTGGGATTATAGCCATTACACCAGTTCCTTTTGCTTACAGTTAAGATTACTTTAAAGTGTCCACTTCCACCCCTACAGATTCTGGAAGATGACATTTTGATTCTAAAACAAGCCCTGAGAGGTTCAAAACAAATAATAGATTTTAAAAGCTAACATACAAAGTTGAGCAACACACAGCAATAGTGTAGATGGTTTTGTTTCCATTGTACAGGTACTCAGGATGAGATTTTGATCAGCATGGAGTGACTTCTTGAGAGAAAGGAGTTGGTTCATATGTAATTTTCTTACTAAAGGGGGATCTTTCTTTTACATGTCCGAGGGATTCATTATCAAAATATACCATATCCATTTTAGTCCTGTCTGTGTTATGGAAGTGACTTACTTGCTGTTATGTACTATTAATGTTTCATGGTGGCTTTATACCAAGCCAAAAAACAGCACCATTGCCCGAAGTAGACTCTTGTGAGAAAATCAGGAACCTGTCATCTCCACTCTCCTTTGTATGTGGAGGTTATAGCCCTTGTTTTATTAAATAACCACAGGGATGTTTAATTAAAATAAACAAAATATTGTGTATAATCATCTTTACCTACCTATAATCCCTGAAGCTTTGTTTTCTCCTTAATAAAGTATCTACCGTAATCTACTGTCATTCTCAGGATGGCTGTGGGGACTACCTGAGATGTGCCCTGTAGAGTTTGATATACTTGAATCACTATCAGCACTTAACGTGTATATCATTACTTTAATAGATAGTATTAAATGTTGTTTTAGTTACGGTATGAAGATGTGTACTGGTTAAAAAAAATCTAGATCAGTATTAGGAATTTAAAATTTGCTCAGGAGCAAACACTCATTTTTCTAGCATTTACTTTGTTTTGTTTTGTTTTGTTTTTAGCAGAAAAGGGCAGTTTTATTTTCAGTTCCCAAACTATTTTTCAACTTTAGAATAAATTAGTTCAGGGACTTTGGCTATAGTTCAGTGATAGAACACATATCCGACATCCACAAGGCCCTGGGGTTCAGTCACTGCCAAGCAAAGGAAGTGGCAAGGAAATCTCAAGATACCCCTATTCAGCTTAATCCCAAGGCATGCTGCTGCCTCCCAAATCAGAAGCTGAAATGCATGAAGAAAAGCATCTCAGATTGTGAATGACCCATTCCAGAGGGAGAAGGTAATAGTCATAAATTTATTTTGATAAAAATAACAAAACCATGGTATTTTCTATGTATGTGAATTTCTCATACTGTTTCTCACTTTTAAATACAAAATCACCTTTGTGTCCCTGTGCAGATGTTCCTGTCTGCAAGCCAGTAGAACTTTGCTCCAAAAGTCAGTCATTTGGAAAAGAGACAGATGCTTCATTTAATTATGACCCTCCAGCTACAACCTTTGGTTTTGAGTTGAAGGAGTCTGGGAATGAGGTTATCAAATAATTCTGAGCCCTTCTCTGAAAACAGCAAGTTACAGAAAACTCTTTTCAGACCATGAAATCTGTACCATAGTTTTAGTCTGTGAAACTTTATTCTAGCATCATCTTAAACTCCATAGATAATTATGCCCCTTTGCTTTCTCTACATGTCTTTTTATTTATACAGTGTAAATATATCCTGAATAGAGGTTTGTTGTGAGCCTTAATTATTTTAACTACTCTACATTGTAATTTAAGGGTCAGGTGATAAAATCTGAAACTTAGTGACAAATTGACAGTTGTGTAAGTTTGGCAAAGACAAAAGTGGTATCTAATAACCTAACCACATGGTTTCTCTTCTGGTTATATTAAACCACAGGTGATATCTTTTGGTATAAACCAAAAGTTTCCCTTTAGTAGTAATTCATGCTATAATTCATTGAAACTTCTTCCTACCACCCATTTGCTTGATGTGGGCTATCGAGTGATTTGAAGGCCAGCCTGCGCTACTGTCTCAAACAAGAAAGTAGATACATGTAGTTGTAAGTTATATTTTATTATGATAAGGGTCTTCACACAAGATTCACACTCTAACTTCTGAATTACAATCGTAAGCCTATCTCCTCAAGGCTGCTTACCTATGGATCTTATCTTAGTTGAAAGTCAGGTCCTGTCTCTTAATAGAAGTCTCTGATTAGAGGGTCAGGATCCTGGGATAGACTATGCAGCCACAGGACAGATTAAGATGGCATGTCTCCAGATGTGCAGAGCTGGGCATTGCTCTTGGTCTCTGCTTATATGCTGTCTAGTGGGTGTTGTGGAGCTGTAGTTGTGTGTTTGTTATCTTGAGTGAGTGATGTCACTCACTGGGTTCTGGTTATCAGGGGCAGCCTTGGTGTAAGGGGGATTCCTGACTAAGCTATTTTTATATGTCTAAAAGGCATTTTTTTTTACTATGCTCACTACTTCTACAGTGTGATCCTGTCTCAAAAAACCAATCAATCAATCAATCAACCAATCAAACAACAACAAAGCACCTGATGCTGCACAAGTCTGTTATTGCTTGTGGTTTTATGTTGCATGACTCAATGGCTTCTTCCTATATATAAATGAACTTGGATAATCTGTTGAAAGTTTTCAGAATGACTTCTATGTGGCTTTTCTTCAAGGCAGGAATTTCATATTAAATATAGTTAAAAGTGTATTTCTATTGGGAATAGTTAAAGAGGATCTTAGGTGCTAGAGAGATGGCTCAGGGGTTAAAGATACTTGCTGCTCTTGCAGAGGCTTTGTTCCCAGCACCCATATGGCAGCTAACAACCATTGGTAACTGCACTTCCAATAGATCCAATGTTCATTTCAGGCCTCCACAGACAGCAGGCACTCCTGGGATGCACATATACACATGCAGGCAAACATTGATGGGCATAAAAATAAATCTTAAAAAGCTTAAAAGATTTTAAAAGGAAGTAAAGAGATTGTTTTTAGAAGTTGGAGGAAGGGGATCTTTGTGCTGTGGAGGCAGGAGGCTTGGGGGCTATGTGTGAGCAGAAGATGGGCTTCTGGAGCTGTGTAGTCCAGCCCAGGAGAGTTCCAGACAAAGTGTTGAAGGCAACACCTGGTTTTTGCTCATTTCTTGTCAAAATGTGAATGCTGACAGATTAACTATGAAAAAGACGGTTTAAAAGAAAGCTGGGTAGCAGACAGGTCTTTTGATGAGGTGCCTGATCCATTTGCAGGTTTGTGCAGGATGGGAGGTGAGGGTCTCGAGTCATTCTTCTGCACGCAGCTGTCTGATTTGTCCGGCACCATTTGTTGAAAATGCTGTCTTTTCCTCAATGTGTTTTTGACCTCTTAGTCAAAATTCAGGTGTTTATAGAAGCATGGGCTTACATTTGGATTGTCAATGCTATTCAGTTGATTAATGTCTCTGTTTTTATTCAGGTACTGTGCTATTTTTATTTTGATAGTTTTGGAGTATAGCCAGAAATCAGGGAATGTGATACCTCTAGCAGTGTTTCTATTGCTTGGGATGGTTTTGGCTATCCTGGGTCATTTGTACTTCCATATGAATTTTAAGATCATTGGAATTTTGATGGGGATTGCGTTGAATCCATGCATTGCTCTGGTAGAGTGGCCACTTTTGGAATATTAATCCTACAAATCCATGTGCATGGAAGATCTTTCATCTTCTGGTGTCTAATTTCTATCTTAATTGTTTTAAAGTTTTCATTGCACAGGTCTTTTACTTCCTTGGTTAGGTTTATTTCCAAGATAAATTGTTTTGTTGGTTTTTTTTTTTTTTGAATAAATGTCAAGCCATTCAAAATCCCAGCCTGGATGGGAGAAGGGCTCATGAAGTTCCACTCCTCACCCATCTCACTGAGGAGCTATTGGCAGTTGATGGCTACCAGGGGAAGGAAACTGTCAGCTATGTCCAGGGATATCCCCTCACTGACAGGCTGCACATGCTCCCAGGGGATGGCCCTACATCCATGCCCAGACAGTCAACACTAAAGGACTCAGTGCACTTAAAAAAACAAAAAAGCACCAGCTCCTGAAATTGGGAGGCGAACATGGTGATGAGGGATATGAATGGAGGGAGTGGGGATAAATTTGATCAAAACATCATGTATGAAATTCTCACAGAAAGAGTCAGGAGGAAAGTGAGAAAGAAGAACTGATGAGTTGACATTTTCAGGCCCTGCAGAGGCAGCTGATGCTAGAATTGAGAAATGGCTTCTGAAAATAATTCCGATTCAGCATGAACCCCAATCTGACCTGGTTTTTTAGGCTCCACTTACGTGCTCCACCACACCGATTCAGTTAATGTATTGGTTTGGTTTGAGGTATGTGTGTGTGTGTGTGTGTGTGTGTGTGTGTGTGAGAGAGAGAGAGAGAGAGAGAGAGAGAGAGAGAGAGAGAGAGAGAGAGAGCCGATTGATTTAGATATGCTATAGTCATTGTGTGCTGGTTATTTGGCATTGATGTTGAATTGTTCTTGAGGGGGGAGTAGTGGCTTTTATTTCTTCTTAAACCATGGATTATTAACTGGAACAAGGCTGTTTGGGAAGGCTGAAGTGCAGACATTCCCTATAAAAGAACACCTTCCTAAGGGATCCCTGGGGTTCCCTGCTATGAATGGTCGGTCATGGGCAGTCATCCAAACAACAGGTGAGGAAAGAGCCAGGCAACACCAGTATTTTTAGGCTTGCCCTCAAGGAAGTTGCTTAGAAAACCAAAGCAGATAGATACTGATGTCCCAGCATGCATCTGTGGTGTTTCTGGAGACATATTAGAAACTTTGCAGTTGTCTGGCTAATGATCAAAAGATCAGAAAGTCCTGCTGAGTGTCTGGATCTGGGACAGCCACCCTCCCTCCATCTTCATAATCTCAGTCTTTGCCATAAGCTTTACCCTTCCTAGATAAATTATATAGAGGCTAGATATTTAGGCAAAAAAATCTACTGGGAAGAATGAAATACAATAATCATAAAGCATTTTAAAATAAAAGCATTTTCCCTCCCAAAGAATAAATAGCTACTTAAAATTATAGACATACAGACATACAAAGCAGTGTCTCTCAACTGCTATTCTCTTGACCTTTGGGGCTGGGTTATTTGTTGCCATGGGCCTGCCCTGTTCTGTTCATTGTTGGATATTCAGCAGCCTCTCTGACCTTTATCCTCCAGAGGACTGTGGTGTATCCCTTCCCAACTTGGAGTCCACATTATCAGGACCAAAAATGTCTGCAGACATTGCATAATGTCCCCTGGGGAACAAAATTCATTTCCTGTTGTAAGTCACAACTTAAGGAAGAAGTTCTTAGGGGGAAAAATGACAGTAGAATTTGTGTCCTTTAGTTATGTGGCATGGGGTAGGGGTGTTGGAATATTAACCTACAGCCTCCCTCATGCTAGGCAACCTCTCTGTCACTGACCTACAGCCCCCTAGATGAAAAGATAATACATGTGTTAATTAATTATAAATTAAAACAGCAGACCAGTCTGGTTTTAAATATTAAAAACATTTATTTCAGGAGAAAAAAATCTGGTAGGTGTTTCCAAGCAGACATCTTGCATATGTAAATTAATAGGTGTCCTAGTTTCATTTCTGTTGCTGTAATAAAAACACCCTGACAAAAGCAGCTGAAAGGAAGAGGGTTTATTCAAGCTCACCATTTCAGATTTCAATGTGTTGTTGTGGGGAAGTCTGGGCAAAGGGAACTTGAAGCAACTAGCCATGTCATATTCATTCTCAAAGCAGAGAAAGGTGGATTAATGTATGTGTGCTAATTGATCAGCTTCCAAATCCAGAAACTGTACAACCCACCTTTAGGTTTCTTCACACAAAACCAAGATAATCCCTCACAAGCCATGTCCACATAACAAGCTGATCTATACAATCCTTCACTCAGACTCACCTGCCATATAATGTCTAGGTGTGTCGAGTTAGATAATTAAAACTCACTATCACAATGTCCCACTCAATAGACAACAAAGTCCAAAATAGCTATTTAACAGATAACTAGGAAGGACCTGGTTTTCTTAATGATTTGACATGGGGTGTAATTATTAATTAGAACAATCTAATTAAGCATCATTAGTATCAGTGTATTGAAAAGATACACGTATGACATGACAGTGTTTACATAGCTTAAAGTGATACAGAGCTCTTTGTGCATTTTTAATAGAACTCATCCTGTGAGTTTGCTCTGATTGAAATGGTTTCAATATCTGCAGTACTGACTTTTGTCTAACATGTCATCACGTAAGGTTTTCTGTTGCTGATGTTAGTTTCTTACTGTGACCCACTTTGTTTTTGAATCTCTTACAGTGCCTGTACCAACTAATGTTCTAATTGAGTCTTTTAACTTGAACCCTGTCCTGCACTGGAAATACCAGGACATGCAACAGACTCCCACTTTTACTGCACAGGTAAAGAACTATGGGTGAGTATTGCTTATTTATTATTTCTGTGTTAATCCTTGCATATTCCATAACTCTCTGTGTTCCCCCATCATCCCTCCTTCCAACTCACTGAACTTTTATCAGCTGTCTGCAGATGTTGCAAATTGCTAAGGATGCAGATTGGTTCTTGTCAGTAGTGAAGTAGGGAAGTACTATAAACATGCAAGATTTATTAGCTGTTAGCAAAGAATAGCCAAATGCATTGCAATTAATGTCAGTGAGGACAAATACCACCTTACAGTAGTTTAGCACTATTTCAGAATAAATACTTACAGATCAAATGGACTCAAATGGAAAACAAAACTTTATAGTGGATTTGTCTTCTCATTAATTCAGGAATTGAGGTTAACAACTTTTGGTAGGCATGCTACAAAGGCCATCTTTGTATCTACCATGTAGACCATAGTGAATGCACATCCTGGGCTTGGTATCATGCAGCCTGCATATTTGACTAAGGGTTAGCACTCACATCTATCTATTGTATAAATAGATTCTTTTAAATCAATAACTTGTGGGGCAAATTCCACGAGGACATGAATATCCTGTTCTACACTATTGCAAGAGCTGTTAGAGTTTCCATTGCTTCTGCGATAAAGCACTGTGATTAAAGCAACTTGGGGAGGAAAGGGGTTTTACACTTCCCTATCACTGTTCATCATGGAAGGAGGTCAGGACAGGAACACAAACAGAACAAGAACCTGAAGGCAGGAACTGATGCAGGGGGCATGGAGGGATACTGCTTATTGACTTGCTTCCCATGGCTTGCTCTTTCCAGTACCACCAGCCCAGGAGTGTCCCTACCTACAATAGGCTAGGCCCTCCCCCACCAATCACTAATTAAGAAAATACCACACAGGCTTATGTTCAGACCCATCTTATGGAGGCCTTTTCTTAATTGAGACTCTCTCTCTCTCAAATGACTTTAGCTTATGTCAACTTGACATAAAAACTCTCCAACACAGTCACTTAGTAAATTGACAGAAACATTAAACTCTGAAAAACATATTCTATTTGAAAACTGGGAGACAGAAACCCTCACACATAATTAATGTGAATGCAAATAGATCTGGCCCTGGGGGAAGAACTTTTATCTAACAAAACTTAATATGCTTACTTTGGCATGTTTTGTTTTGTTTTGTTTTTCTTGTGGGGCTGGAAATCACACCCAAGGCTTTGCACATGCTAGGTAAGCTGTCTACCACTGTGATACATTGCCAGGTCCCAAGCTTCTTGTATGCATGAGTGCATGTTCCTGTGTGTATGTGTGTGTTTGTGTGTGTGTGTGTGTGTGTGTGTGTGTGTATGCAGGAGTGTGTGCATATATATACACATACATGTAGAGGGTGAGAACAGTCTCAAATGTCATTCCTTGTTTGTTTTTTGTTTCATTTTGACATGGGTTCTGGGGATTGAACTCAGGCCCTCTTGGCTTTGCATAGCAAGCACTTGATTAACTGAGCTCTCTCTCCAGCCAGTGTTTGCTTTTAGATCTGTTGATTCCACATTAGGAACTTACCTGTAAGATACACTGTTATAAAAATACAACTTGAAATTGATTAGAAGATTAAACACATGACTGCTACAAAAATGGATCTCTGTATTAGCTTTATAAAATATGAAGGAAATTTCATATTTTATGGATCAGAATGTAGTGACTTCCAGACTATATTGTTCAATGAAAAGAAAAATTAAGTTCTACAAGATATATGCACTGTGCTCCATTGGGGAAGATGAATGAGATGAACTGTCTGTGTGGGTGTTGTCTTACTCTAGAAAAGCACAGGGAGTGAAAACCCTGAAGCCAGGGAGATTGGCTTCCTGCAGGAATGGGTAACAGTGGTAGAAACCAATAGGGAAGAGCTTCATGTTTTCCTTAAAGAAATGCTAATTCCAGGGTTAAGCCAAGTAACAAAATGAAGATTTTTATAGGTATTTGATGGAGTTTGACTTGTTTGATCAGTTTAGTGGGGTTTTTTGTCTTTGTGGGGCTGAGGTCCAACTTGTTCACTTAAAGGAGCACTGTACCTCCAAGCAACAACCCCAACCTGGGAAGATAGAAAGGTAATTAGAAAGTATCCCTTGTGGCAGAAACAACTAATGGGGACATGTCAAAAGGATCCAATAAGCATCTTGAAGCAGGCTCTTACTAGCCAAAGAATGGGACAGCTTAAGCAGCAATATCAGTAAGAACATGATAAATAAGAAAGAAACCCTGTATCTATATTTTCATTAAATTGTAATGATGTTGGGAGAATGAGAAGAACTTGTGTGGACAAGGAACTTCTAAAATGTTTAGTTTTGGCAAATGAAGCTGATACTTTAGGTCAATGCCTTCCTGTAATAACTGTAAATTTTATTAGAAAGATCAATTTAAAAACAAAACAAACAAAAGAGCCTGACCACAATGAAGAGCTTTTGTAATATGTCTGATTTCGTAATCGACTTACATCTGTGTTAACGGGATCCATAAGGGTTTCAAAGTGGAGTTTAAAACTTAAATATGAAATGTATTGTATGAGTTCTATCTCTTACGAAGGAATTTACAGCAAGGGTGAAGTATACCTTATCTCAAATGCTTGGAGCTCAAAGTATTTCATATTCTGACTTTTTTTAGCTCTTGGAAGGTTTATATATACCTAAGTAGATACGGTAAGGCTGGGACCTAAGTCTAAACATGAGACTTAGGTCATATATACCTTATCCACATATAACCTAAAAGTAGCTGTTGTAATTTTTTGGTGTTTTATCTATTCTTTTAAATATAATTTTTGTAAGGATGAGGCCTAGGCCTTTCCACATGTCGCACATGCTTTCTATTGGTAAGCTACTCCCCTAATCTATATGATATTTGAGTAACAAATTTCATGCAGGAAACAAACAACTTTGCATGGTGTAGCATCTTTTTCCTGTGACATCAGATGGATGCTCAAAAGGCTTGGATTTTAGAGCCACCGAATTTCTGGCTTTTTGGATTAAGGGTGCTAGGTTTGTACCTCCAATTCAAGAGTAAGGGTTTCTTCTTTCATCTGGCTTCTCTTTCTTGTTTTAGTTCAGTTCTTCCAAACAGCTGGCTGGATGCAATGTGTAATACAGATGGATGGCTGAAGTTTGTATGGTAGTAAGATTTACCATGTGTCTCTCTTGCTTTTCGTTTTAGGGAGGATAAATGGATTGATTCCTGCACCAACATCTCTAATCACAGTTGTAATATCTATGAACAAATTAAATATCCCCAATTATCTGTCTGGGCCAGAGTTAAAGCTAATTTTGGACAGAAAGAATCTGCCTATGCAGTGTCAAGAGAGTTTATTATGTGCCGACAGGGTAAGTAGATTGTATGCGTGAGTAATTTCTTAAAATTTTTGTTTGTTTATTTCTTTTTGTGTATATGGGTGCTTTGCCTGCATGTCTGTGGACTGTGCAACGCCCTGAAGAGGGCTTTGGATATCCTGGGACTGCCATTACAGGTATTTGCTAACTACCATGTAGGTTCTGGGAAGCAAACTTTGGTCCTCTGGGAGAGCAGCCAGTGCTCTTAACTATCAAGCCATCTCTCTAGTCCCTACATGGATACTTTTAATTTTGCAACACTTACACTTCTGTGTATGTTTGCTTTTATTGATAGTTGCTACAAGTGTCTAGTAAATACATGGCAGAGTTTAAGAAGCCATTGTCTTTTCCTTCCAGGCCCACAAAACAACACTAAACTGACCTACACTTTGCCACTTTAAAATCAGTTAGCATCCAGCCCATTGACATCCTGACCAGTGCTGTTCAGCATGGCTAGACATCAGCATTTCCCTCCCTGTGTAATGTGGAAGTCATTTCAAAGTTAGATCAAAGAGGATCTGGCCACTGAGCTCATTCCTCTTATCTACCTTAAGTCCTTGAAGACCTTGGAAGCATAAAATCAACATAATAATCCATTAATACATTAGAGTTTCAAGCAGGTTATGGTGGCCCATACCTGTCATCCAGCAGTCAGGGGCCTCAAGCAGGAAGACCAAGGGTTAGTGAAGAATTTGAAGCCAGCCCATCCCAAAAAAACAGACGTTTAGAGTTCTTTCGTATCTCTTGAGTCCAAGGTTTTAAGCTCTTTGTCCTGTGCCTTAGACTACTAGCCCCGTTGACATTTCTTCCAACCTCCCTTCCTTCCTAGCTCACCCTGTGACTGGTTGTGTCCACACTGCCATGCCTGTGCCTTGATTCTGCCCCAGCTTTTTGGGTGTACCCAAGGCTTTCCCTGGGTTCCTATGGTCCATGCCATCTTTATGTAAGATTTGTCTGCCACAGGTTTATCAAGGACCTATTGTGTCCCAGAAAGTATGCCCGAGATACACTGGAGAGTCAATGCCACTCAGATCTGGGTGGAAGACTGTGTGTGTGTGTGTGTGTGTGTGTGTGTGTGTGTGTGTGTGTGTGTGTGGTACATATGAGAAGCATACACAGATGTTCACCACACAAGCCCCATACACCAGAGACAGTCTGTAGTTCTGATTTTCACAGTGAGCACTGAACCATTAGCAAACTTCTTAGAACCATCCTGCCAGACACCCACTGTGTTTCAGTGAGGAAGATAACTAAAGAACTCTCCAGGAGCTGGACAGATGGCTCTATGGTTAAGAACACTGGCTGTTTTTCCAGAGGACCTGGTTCAAGTTCCAGCACCTACATGGCAACTCACAGCTGTCTATAACTTCAGTTCCAGGCAATCCTGGAACTCTTCCAACCTCCACAGGCACCAGGCATATGCATGATATGCAGACACAAATGCAGGCAAAATACTCATACACATAATAAGCAAGTAAACAAACAAATAAATAAGGGCATTTTCAGAACATTTTTAGAAAACAAGTTCCTTAAGCTACAAAAATAAAGAAAAAGGGAAGGTATTTATTTGTGTTTTTATTTTGGTGGGGGAGCGTAGATTGCTGAGGAATAAACCTTGGGCCTTATGTCCCTAGGCAAGTGCTCTACCATCAAGCTACATCTCCAGCCTGCTGTTTTTACCTTTTATTTTGACACTAATTTGCCTAGGCTGGTTTCACACTCATTCTGTAGCCCCAGCAATATTGAGCTTAATGGTCCTTCTGCCCTATACTTCTAAGTAGCAGATTTTATGGGCCTGTATCACTAGCCTTGCCTTTTTATCTTCTAAAAACCAACATTTATGACTACTTTTACCTTCCTAAAGACAAAGTCAATTAAATCACTAAAGCAGAGTTTGGGGAAGCGCTTCTTGTCCAGGATTTATTAAACGCTATATTCTTAGAACGTCTTCTAGATCTTTGCAGAGTTGTTTAAATGTGTCCATTGATGTGGGTAGATGTAGTGGCTGTGCTGGGAGGAATTATACTTTTCCTTTCTCCCCAGGAAAAGTTGGAGCACCGAGCCTGGACATCAGAGAGAAGGGCGACAAGCTCATTCTCAATGTTTTTCACCCTGAGGTTATTATAAACGGAGAATGGCATGGGGTCATGTTTGATGATGACAGCACCTGTTACACGTTCAGCTACAACATATACGTGCACAGAAACAGAAGTGGGCAGGTGTGTGCTCCTCTTTTATCTTTTTTAGATATAGGAACCATTCTATTGTTTGTGCAAGTTGTTATCATAAACTATAATGAAGGTACACTGCTTATGCATATACAATAGATTTGTGGGTCCTAGATTTCTGCTAAGAAAATAAACTACGTAAATACTATTGAAGGGACCAGTATAGAGTTAATTGCCAACAATGGCTAGATGATGCATTTAAGTTTACTCTTTGGTAAATCACAGGGCCCTCTCTACAGTGTCACCTTTTCTATATACCTGTTTCTCTACTGGTAAGATGGAGATCATCTTAGGGTTTTTTTTTCTTTCTTTATTGGTAATAGTAGCATATAAAATAATATACATCTATGATTTATTTCTGAAAAGTAAGCTAACAGTACAACTACAATAATATAATTACTCTGGTAGTGGTGTGGAGTCCATATTTTAATTCCAGCTGTGTTCCCTGCATTCTGCACAATGTCACCATTTATTTTATTTATTTTTTTAATTTATTTATTAGTTCCAGTTAGGAAACAAGCTTGTTTCACATGTAAGTTCCTTCTCCCTCTCCCTCTCCCTCCCCTCACCCCGATCCCTCCTCCCCCACCTCCACTCCATCCACCCACCACTCCCTAGGCAGGGTAGGGCCCTCAAAGGGGGCTCTGCAAAGTCCACCAAATCTTCCTGTGCTGGTCCTGGGCCCTTCCCCATGTGTCCAGGGCCAGAGTGTAACCCTTCACGTGGGATGGGCTCTCAAAGTCCCTTCTTGTACCAGGGAAAAATACTAATCCACCACCAAAGGCTCCCTGGAGTGCAGAGGCCTCCTTATTGACATCCATGTTCAGGGGGCTGGATCAGTCCCCAACAGCATCTGGGGTCATGTGCTCTCCCTTGTTCAGGCCAACTGTTCCTGTGGGTTTCTCCAACCTGGTACAGACCCCTTCGCTCTTCATTCCTCCCTCTCTTCAACTAAATTCCCGATTTCAGCTCACTGTATATCTGTGGATGTCTGTCTCTGCTTCCATCAGTCACTGGATGAGGGCTCTAGGATAGCATAAAGAGAAGTCATCAA